CTCTTTTCAACGAGTATGTAACAGACTTCCTATCACTTTGGCTCAATGTTAAAACAGTATTTTCTGAAGTGTGGCCACTGTTATTACTTGCCAGTTGAGGGCTGGGGGGAGTCCATGGTCAATGAAATTTGGAAAGTGCTGATTAAACAAAGTTAGAAAGGTAACCTTACAGCAGGACTTCTTGGTGTGCTCGTTTGCACTGACATTCCTAGAAGGAGCTACCAAATGCAGTGCGTCATAAATACACTTGTGTATAAAAACCTCTAAAAGTGATTTACTAATATGTTCACAGCACATTGGGTAGTTGTATTAGGAAGTTTATTTTTTCTTCATCATTTTATGATTTTTCTGAAATAACCATCTATTGCCTTATTATTACGATTTTTTTTAGTTCGTTAAAAAAAATCATTTACCTTGCCTACTTCTAAAAGGACTTGGGCCAGTTGAGAGTTGAAAATCCATTGAAAAAAGCATATCAAATGAGAAACAGAACAGAGTAAATCTTAAGGTTGAAAAAATATAGATCAATCTTGGCAACTGCTTTGAACAGATTTAATTTCTCAGGCAATTAATCTCGTTCTAAGAAATACAGCAGTTAATTTTAGGGCAAAAGTCAGAAACTCTGCATTCTGACAGTAGAAGACATTTAAACTCATCGGTGATATGCCTTTCTGCATGCTTATAACTTTCTAGTTGGTTTGTTAATATAACATTTAACATATATGGTTCTAGATAAGCATGTTTGTTAGATCTTGAAACATGTGTTTGATATTCTGAAAACAAACAACAAAAATGCAGCTTTTCTTGGGAGATGGGTTGGGAGAAATGTAAAGGCTGTCGAGCTCTGGCACCAGGACCAAGTGCCCCCTGGTGCTGACTGCGCTTTCCACCGAGGACACCCCTTCCCAGGTCCTTGACCTCCAGTCTGAGTGGAGCCGTGAAGCATTCTTCCCTTTGCTTATTTATAACTTTGTATTTTGCATCTCATCTTTCCTCCCTCCCCTCTTTTTCTTTTTCTCTTTGTCTCTTTCTTGGACAAGACGAAGGAAGGAGGCAAATTCCCTTGATTCCGGGCCCTCTCTGATGGAATTTCCAGGGTTGTCAGATCATAAATACCTCTTTCTCTTATTTAAGAGTTTTAAAAATGTAGGTTATGCTCAAGGCCCAAGTTCTCTGGCATCATCTATTCCTAAGAAGTGTAAGATACCATTTTATTATTGACTAAAGTGAGAGATGAGAAACATCCTGCAAAGCCTCCACAGATCCACACCTTTTTGCCCTATTATTAATCTCCATCTTTCCACAGAGGGCCAAGACAAATATTCAGAATTTTTAATTTAACACATTCTTAAGTGTGTCCTAACTTTTAATATATATCGAACAATTACATGCCCTCCTTCTGTTGCCTTTCAAACTATAAGATTCCTTTTTTTTTTGTTCTCACTGAGGTTTTTATTTCATTTTCAAATATGAATCAGGTGAAAATTCTCAGAAGATAAGTCATACGGATTTCATTTTGTTCACTTATCATAAGCTACCTTCTTCCTCTGTACTCACTATGAAGAGGGCCAGGACATGCATTCTCACCACAGAAAGTCACTGCTACAGTGTAAGGATGACAAAACCCACTGCACACAAAAATCTAGTCACCAACTTGGAGCGGTTTTCTTGGTCTTTTGGTTTTGCATTCAAAAGAATTCACACACGTAAGTTATCTGAGTGTTAAGATTTTGAAAGTACAAACCAGCATAATAAACATGAATGAAAACATAGTCAATTTATCTGTATCTATTTTATCATGTATGCATGTGTTGCCTTGTATCTTCAGAACAAAAAGTACCGTGAATTATAACACCCAATAACATGCCCCTAAGGGGCTGAACATAGCACAGTAACGCTGAGTTAACCTTCAAAATAAATGAAGGCAATAAACAACTCATCAGAAGGAACTAAGAAGAGCAGAGTTTTTCTTTTTCTTTTTTTTAAGCGATACTCATTTTTCATTTTTGTAACAAAGAAATGAGTCAATTTATAAAATACGATCCTTCCTATATTTTTCCATGAGGTATCTTATCCAATTTTGCTATTTAAATTAAACTGCAGCACACCTGAAAAAAATCAAACAGTTATTGACTGGTTCTGGAGATCACTTGCCTAATTGTATGGAATATAGCGGAGATAATGAGCTCATTGTGGACTGCAACGGCCATGTAGCGTGGCTCGTGAAATGCTGATGGGACGGTCCGCACTGCATAGCAGAGATAAACGCCCCACAGGAGGAATAAAAATTCAGCTGTGAGAAGAACAACAACAACAACAAAAAAAACAATTTTCCATTAGTTTTCCAGGTGAAGGAAAAAGCAAAGTTTAAATTCTGTAGCAGGCATTTTGTGCTTATGATAGAAACACATGGCGAGAAATGCATACAAAATGTCACTCACGTATGACTACATATGCCATATATTTAACTTTTTATTCAGTGCATAGAGGATTTTTCACAGGTATATTTTGGCTTTTTACATTAAAAATTTTTTTTAAATAGTGTTTGGTATCTCAGGGTTTTTTTGGGTTTTTTTTTGTTTTTTGTTTTGCTAATACCTGGCTTTTTCCTAAAACAATTGTAAAATAATTAACCGCATCCCTAACCCAAGTTTAATGTGTTCATAGAGCATTTGGGTCACAATAACGTCATCAAGGCAACAAAAGGCTGATAATGTGTTTACATGCAGCTTCTAGAAATTTAAGTCCTTACTTCACTGAGCCTGGTTCAGTGCATGAAGACATTCGTTGTCAGAAATGTGAGAAAATAGGTTGCTAAACATTCAGTGGCATATTTTATCAATGAATTTTATCAATGTTTTCACATGGCAGACATCAGGTGTTTTGTGGGTGAATGCTAAGGGCTTAGTAAAATTCCCAGTCACCTTGTTTGCTTGCTCAGGCCAGAAGAGACAAGCAGAAAATAGCAAAGACAGGGCTTCAGAGTCACACTAGCCCTGTTTGGGAATTCTGGCTGGATTCCTAATTAACTTTGCATAATCTGAGGCATTTTAACCTTTCTGGTCACAGTTTCCTCATCTGGAAAATGAGAATAATAAAAGTACATATTTCATGGGATTATTTGCTAATGAAGTCAACAAATGGATATAAAGCACTTAACACAGTTTCTGACATCGTAGATGTTAGAAAAATAAATAGAGATGTTAAAAATTAGTTCTTATTGTTAAACATCTCCTTTGACTTTTTTTTCCCCCCAAACTGAACATTGTTATTTTAACTCATTCTGACCAGTAACTGTTATCATCCATTTTATCTGTCTTAGTGACAGAACCTCATTGGAGATACCTAATTGACAAAAAGAAAGCTCTAATTTGGAGAACATATTACATCAAATGCATTACCTGTTTATAAACTGAAATGCTGATTTCCAGTCCCATATGCCCAGGTGTTTTACCTGCCAAAGTTTCAGCCTATTTCTATCAGTATTTAAACAATAAGTAGTGCCCCAATCATTGAAAATCCCTCAAGTAAACACATCTGTCAAGAGTTATTCTAAAACTCTACTGTGTTCAGAAACCAAGGGAAAAATGCACCTCACTCAAAGATCTCCATGAGATCAGAGGGGAGGTCCTGATTTCTGTCCACGGTGTTACTACTGCCTTCTCACTCAAGTTTGAAATCTCAGAGCCACCTTTCATTGACACATTTCTACTTTTGAGTTAGTTTCAATAAGTATCATTTCTCTCAATGCTCACGATTACAATCCTGGCCTAAGCCCCTACCTGTTTACTCCTTATCTATTACAATTATTTTTCAACTGCCCCATGTAAACCTGGCTTCACCCTGCATTAATTCATTCATAAGTGACAAGTTCATTTTTCTGAAACTCCACTTTGATCATATCAGGATTTGTCCAAATCTCTGCTACTCCATTGGGGTTAACTGATTCATGTTTCCACTGGAAGATTCACTCACGCCCACTTAGGACCCTGGAATAATTCCTGCTCCCAAAGGAAGCCTATAGGGGTTCCTGCCAGGGCAGGCATGTTTCAAGTTTCAAGATTTAGATGACTGTCTTGCAAGAAAGTTTCAAGACTTTCTTGCCACCTAGAGTTCCCATTAGCTGTCCCACTGCTTGGCCTTAATCTTTTGTGCTTGTATATTTCTTAGACCCTGACTTCTTGTCTAATCTCTGACCCTCAGGTTAGTGTTTCATGAAGTACTGCATGCGTCTTCATTCAGAAATCTTCAGCAGTTCACTATAATCTTACAAATGCTTGGCCTGGCATTCCTAGCCCTCTGTGACTTCATGTTACATATTCAATATGATCTCCTAACACTCCCTGACATGAACTCTGCACTGACTCATGAAGACTCATTGTCCTCTGAACACCCCAAAGATTCTTCTTGCATCTGAGTCTTTGTTCATGCTATTTCTCACACAAGAAATCTCTTACCCACAATTCCAAATCTTAACCAATTTTCAATGTCCAATTCAGGTTTTCACCTCCTTTGTGAGGCTATCTGAGATGTTTCTTATCTACAGTGAAGCTTCCTTCCTCTAATTTCTTATAGTTTTTGACTACCTATACTACACAATGCAGAGAATAATGCCACACAATATATAATTGGGAGAAAACTGTTCATGGGGTCTTGTTAGTCACTCCTCTCCTTAGCCCCAACTAGACATGACCTCCTTCAGAGCAAGAATTGAGTTGAAATTCTACCTCTGCCCACACAGATGACAGCAACAGTACTGAGAACACATAGATAAGGTTTAATAAATATTTGTTGAATTGAATGAATATAAGTGGTACCAGTTTCATGTTACGAGAGATGCAGACTTTCTGTTCCTTTGCTGTTCTATCTAACATCTACATACATGATCCATCTATAGACATGATCTAAAGGTCATTGGCATTATCATTAATGGTCACTGCTACTTACTGATGGACCTTTGAATGTGTGGTACCGTGCTTGGCATTCAAGCATGGTCTATGAAAAATACTATTAAACAAACACTAACACAAAAAATATGCTGTAATTGAAGGGTTCACATGTAGATGAATTATAAAAACACAATCTTCTCCCACTTACTGCAGCGTTTTTATACAATGTTATAACTGAAGATTTTTTTTAAAAGGAAAGTTATCAGGTTAAATAGTGTGCTACAATGGAGAATTATATTTAAAAACATACGACAAAATAAGATTCCTCTTAATAGCTAAGCTGTACATTAAAATCATTTCATTAGCGATATCAAACAATATGCTTTAGCTGAAAAACTATTTATTATTCAAAGTACCAATTTAACTGTGATATATAAAAGTTGTGCTTAGGGAAAAAAATCAGTTTCATATAATTAACTACAGACTAACGTGGCAATTAGTAAAGAAAATATGGAGATGTTACCAAATTTTGCAGTGTTATTACGTGGGAGTCAAAATATATGTTGTGCTTCTGCTTTAGAAAATAATTTCTGATGTTAACTGATTTTTGATGGGAGGCATGGGTATAGTTAAAAAGGGAATTGCATTTATATTTAACAATTCAAAAAGGGCTTTCAGAAAACTGAGGTATTCTATTTTTAATCTATTAGAAATAACAGTGTAAAAGTTAAGTGCCATAGCCTTTAAAAAATTAATATGCCGTAATGAAAGTAATTTCAATTTATCCTTCCAAAGGGCTGGGTCAAGCAAAGAAGTGAAAGTTACTATAGCTCTTTGACACTGAAGATGCCCCAGCTCTGAGAACACCTACAAGGGCTGAGAGAGACAAAACTTCAAAGCACATATGTCTCTCAAGCTGTGGGATCTACCCTGCTTGGCCATGTTGCAAGGCTATTTTGTATTAATAACATTTTGTGCTTCTCAGCTTGTTAAAAAATTATTTCTACATGACAAAAAATAAATTTCATTTTCCAAATGTTTCTTTGAATGTCCTCCTCTATTTTTTCTCTAAATCTTATCCACTTAGAAAATTTGTGGTCAAAGTAAACCTATTCTGTTTTCCTTTTAATAATGTGGGCATCACAGAAGTTCTCGCTAAGTATTAAGTCAAGTAGTTCCAGTAGTGCCTGCGGATAGTTCAAACTCCAGCATGCCAGGGCTTCGCTGGCAGATAGAAGCCTTCACACTCCGGAGGTTTATTTGTCTTTGCTTTTGTTAAAATAAAGACAGTTATGAGACTTACAATGATAAGGACAATGAGAATGATACTTCTGATAGAATTTCAAAGCTAGAAGTGACTTCAGGCGACCACTTCAGGGTACATTTTCGAGTTGTGTGTGTGGCTGTGAATGGGGTTGGTTGGTGAGTTATTCTGCTTGTCATGAAGTCAGTTTATTCACCTGCAAAGCTTGGAGGAGAAGGGAGATTTCGCAGCCAGGACAATGGGGCCGAAATTCTGTTCTCAGCTCCCGGGAGCAGCGAGCCACAGGGATGTGCCTGTGGAGAAGCTGGCTCTCCCCGCGCTGACTCACCATGTTGGCAGCAGAACGGGGGCTGGATCCAGGCCTCCTGGTTCCTGACCAGTGTTCCCTAAATTACATCTTTTGGCTGAGGTTTTCTTTTGCTCTGTTATTAACAGAGGCCTAGACAAAATCCTTGGACATATTTTTATACTACTGAAGAAAATAAACATTTTCCCAAGCAACAGTTGTTTGTATTTTAAGCAACTAATATGCCAATTAGAATTAGCCAGTGGTGGTTAAAAGAGTTCTACTCATAAGTGCTTTCTGCCCCTCAGTTCGTCTGACTTGGGAGCTAACATCCATCAAATATGCGAGGCACTGAGCTGAATGCATTTTGCACATTAGCTACAGTTATGAAGGTTTTATTGTAGAACCTGTGACTCCTTTAAAAAGGCTGGGGCAGAATTCTGAGTGCTGAAATGTCAAGTTTGGGGCAGAGCCACTGTG